ATGCCGCAGTGCAGAGGAGGGGGAAGATAGTGACTCTGCACTATGCCGGAAATGATGCCTTTGTGATCTAAATTAAACACCTGCAGACGCAGTGCATATCCTCCCTCGCCCCATCCCTATTTTACCCCCATTATAACCCTTCAATAAGCCGTAATGACCATTCAACGCAAGCAAGCAAACAAAACAACCCGTTTAGCGGCGACATCATCTCGGATAAAAAAGCGACAGTAATGATTAACACGCGCACTGCAGGGGGGGGTTGTTTTCAACCCCCCCTGTGGTTTTTCGCAAATCGCGAGAAAACGGCGGCGCGTAGCGCCGCCAAATTTTGCATACCTGTTCTCCCAACTTTTGCACACCTTGAGTAAAAATTTTGACCCCAGGTGACCTATGGTCAGGTCACCAGGTCAGGTCAAGTGACCCTACCTCGAAACGTAAATTTCGAAGTTTGCAATCCCACCAAGCCTACAGTTGTTGAGATATGATCGTGAAACCCACAGGAAATAGTAAGGTCATCACGAGCTACAACTTGTATATCTCGGAATTTTTATATCGATGACCTAAGGTCAGGTCATTTTTGCGACCGGCCCATTATAAGTCAATGGGAGAATTTTCAACTTACTCTGAATGCCATCCTATGACTTCAATACGCTCAGGATCATAGTATTGCAGGTCCCTGTTGGTGATTTCACCGAAACATATCACTTATGACCTTTGGAAGGTGATCTCCAGGTCATCTTAGGTCACCTGAGGTCACCAGCGGTTTTTCTTCAATAACTTGAGATTGAATAGAGATAGAGACTCCGTTCGACGTTTATCGTGTTTTTCTCGTCAATGCGGATCGAATGATATGCAACATGACCTATTTCGGTCAGGTCATGACCTTGACCTGAGGTCAAATTTTCAACTTGACCTTTCGAGGTCATATCGATGCGCCTTGACGAGCCAAAAACGATGGCGTTCGAATCGATCCTCTGTCTTGTGTGCAAGACAAGTTATTCAAGAAAAACTACCGCGAAATTCCTGTTGTGAAAATCGTAACATTTTGTCTTCGGTGACCTCTGGTGACCTCGTTTTTGACCTGACCCAAAAATGATCTTTGTATTTCTTGTAGATCTCATCTCAACCTATCCAACGCCGTTTACCGCTTGTCGCTACGTTGCGCCGTTTTCGAGATCTCAGGGGGGGGTTGTTTTCAACCCCCCCTGCAGTTCGTGTTCGGCTCAGACCCGCTGCAGTGCGCGTGTTAAAATAGACATAGCGCGAGAGCAAATCGAGGGGTATATATGTATCACATACCCAGCATTTTATTCCAATCTAGCAAATCAAGATTGGGGATCTTGTCCAACAAGTCAGCGGCCGTTCCAGACACAGATAAATGCTTTAGTTTCGGTTGCATCATTATCTGCAATAATTCGAAGCGAGGTTTAACCCTCGCCGGCCGAGAAGAAGGGGTGAATGCCGCCACCATGTATTTTTTTGCGGTAGCTCAAAGCACACTGATGATAGAAGGCTGACATTTCGTATGCCTTGCATTTGATTCACGCCGGATCATTTGACATCAACCACGTTTTCAGGTCAGGTCACTTAACCATGGCGTCTTAACCCTCGCCGGCCGAGGGGGGGGGGGAGCGGGTGCTGCCCCCAATCGGATTTTTTCGCGATAGCTCCGAACACGCTGGCGATAGAAAGCTGAAACTTGGCATACCTAACCTTTGATTCAAGCCGGATCTTTTGACACCAACCGCATTTTGGGTCAGGTCAGGTCACTGAACTATGCGCGTCATAAGTGAGCCTCTGCACGGTCTTCAGATGTCGCAACTTCGCAACGCCCTCACTGCCAGAGGAGATGTCACAGGGAAATGAAACTTGCAGGATCTAGTATCCATTATGAGTCTCACAACTTGTATATCTCGGATTTTTTCTAAAGGTCATATGAGGTCAGGTCATTTTCGTGACCTCACCATTAGGTATACCTAAGTCAATGGGGAAAAATGAAAACTGCTGTTCTGGCGCCGGGAACGATCTCCAACTACCTCAAGCACACATAATCGTGATTTGATGCACTCCTTGCAAGGTTAGATGCGTCACTTTTGCAATGTTGACCTTGCATGACGTCATTTATGACGTCATCAAGGTCATATGAATTTTCGTCAATTACTCCCGATCAAATTGAGCTAGCGAGTCGGGAAAGCCACCAATGGACTCAGGCAGACCTGCCGAATCGAATGATATGCAACATGACCTCTTTCGACCACCTTCGTGACCTGGGGGTGCTGACCTGACCTTGACCTGAGGTCAACACCCCAAGTTGACCTGACCCGGACAAAAAGTATATCATTCGACGCGCCTGAGCAAGGCGAACACGATGCTGCCAAAATCGCGGCTCTGCGGCCGTTTTTTGCGAAGTTATTCACCAAAAACTGAACCGTACCTTGGGGCACTTGACCTGACCTCAGAGGTCACCGGTTGACCTAGGACCTTAAAATCGAGTACCAATCTCTGCGTCTCGTAACGGCGCACACGCTCGTTTTTTTCCGCGACGCGCTAGCTCCACCTGGGGCGAAACGGCGAGGGGGGGGTCGTACCCGCCCCCCCCCCCCTCGGCCGGCGCGTATGTAGAAAACCAATAGGTCCGGCGAGGGTTAAGTAAACCTCTGCACGGTTGTCGGTTATAAAATGATGCAAATCCGCAATGCACTTAGTGTCAAGCATAATGGAGAAATATGGAAACTGTTAATTTGGCGTCGGAAATTATCTAAAATTACACCTCAAGCACTTCAAATCGTGACTTCATACATTCTTGGCAAGGTCTAATGCTTCACTTTTGCATTGTTCACCTTGCGTGACGTCATTTATGACGTCACTAGGGTGATAGGAGTGCTTCGTCAATAACTCCCGATCAAAATGAGCTAGCCAGTCGGGACAGCCATCTTTGGACTTTGCAAGCTTGCCGAATCAAATGTTATGCAACATGTCCTCCTTTCAACAGCTTCGTGACCTGTGTTGCCCTAACATGACATTTTTTCTCGACATCGTGAAGGTGTCATTAATAAAAATATGAAATCCGGGAGAATAAATTAAATATAGAAATTGTGGCCAACAGAACATTATCAGTTGCGTTAAACATACTAGTAAGCATGATCACACACCCAGCTTATATATGAGCCATGTCATAATTATTTTTGATAGACATGCTTAAGTTATGAAATCATCTAAAGTGTTCGTAAAGTTCCACGATACGAATCTACATAATATCCTGCTATGCATCATGACCATTTCTGGTCAGGTCATGTCTTTGAACATAGGCCAAATTTTTCAAATAACCTTTAAAGATCAACTTTTGATTCATTCGAAGCGTTTTTTGATAAGAGGAACACGAGGCTGGTAAAATTAATTCCAAGCAAGTTTTAAGCTAAGAACTTTTAAGTGTTTGTAGAAAAGCAATTGGTTTTCTCATAATACCGATGGTGGCAGTTGCTGTTATTTACGTGCTAAGCCGTTCGCCTTTATTAAATCTGACAATATTATTCAGACATAGCGGTAAACGAGCTGATTGTTGTGTTAGGTTAGGCTCGGTCGATTTCAGAGTGGGAAGGATGACAGGAATTAGGGGGAGACAGGGGGCCTGGGCGGGAGTCCTGGACCTCATGCTCCGCTGGGGCCGAGCCCATCACGTGGGTTGGATTGCCCTGACACATGGATAGCCCTGGGCGGTGTTTCACGGCCCCGCGTTGCAGCACACTGCGCTGCGCTGCTGCATTGTTGCGGCGGTTGATATGAATTCGGCTCCACGCTAGCGTTGCGAGCTCCCGAGTCTGTTGATGTTTCCATGGAAACTGGAAACCCCATGCACCGGTGCGCGCAACGCACCCTGTCCAAGCAAAATTTTACCACCGATGACCTCTGGTGACATGACCTCTGGCTCTGACCCGATCTAAAATTGGCTGAAGTATATTTCTTCTTCTTTTTGCTACTTTTGACGCTACTTCGAATGCCACTTAAATGCCCAAAGCTGAGTAATAATAATGATGCTCAATCCCCATTTTCCCTCCAACAGGGCGCGCATAGGCATTCCTGTCGGGCACGGGCTAACACTGACTTTCTCATAATAATTGTGGCCATGAACATCTACTGCCATTCTTCAACACCGGTTTCGCTGCGCTGGGCGGCGGCCGTCCCGTGTGTTGGATTCTACAGCTGGCTGGCGGAAAGCGTTACCGGCCGCCCGTCCACCGCCCGCGGGCCGGACCGAGCGGTCCCGCTGACCCTATCTGACCTGAGCCCGGCGCGATATGGGACAGGCAGACGGGGGTTCGGCTCAGCGGAGGCAGCGCCCACTGGTGCTGGGGACTTTTTTAATAGACCTACTGTACGCTTCCTCTTGTGGGTCTCAGGGTAAATAGGGGCGTGTTCGGAGGAAAGGAAATTACCCACAATGAAAGAACGAAATAAACAGTGAAACGATGGTTAGATATGGGTTAAACTGGGAGAAAAACGTGAGAAATAAAACTAGGAACTCGTCGAAATACTCAGCCTCTCTGACACTCTGCGTACGATACTAAATTTATATTTTAACTGAGAGCACGTGCCAAAAACCATAGAGATCAAAACGAACAGGAAGTCAACGGGGGCGGAACTACACAGCCAAAAATTAAAACACTTTTTTACATAATCAAAAACGAATCGAGTATATAGAAACGGCGAAAAGTCAATCTAGAAATTACAACAAATTAAAGCAAGGACAGATATTAAATACGGTTGAAAACTATAAGACAGAAGTGACGATAATAACGAATTTACAATAATATAAAGCAGGAAAACAAACGTTCATGAGAAATAACATAAACACTGCGCGAGGCGGCGATTGGCGGCGCAAAGGGCGGCCGTGCTGGACGGACACGCCGCAGCTAAATAATACGCGCCGCGCCACACTGCTCCCCCTCTTAGTCGCGGAGCGAACACTACGATGCGTAACACACTTAACACGTAACACACTCTTACCGCACGGTGTCGGGCGGCACGCGGAAGCGGACCTGCCGGCCGGCCCTGGTCCGGACAGGAGCGATGGGCGTCGAGCTCGGCGCGGGATCAGTGGGCACCACTCGTGCGGTACGGCCCCGGCGGGGCGGCGGGCACGGCGGCGCGACCGGCGGCGGGCACGGCGCGGGCGGCGCGCCGTCCGGTGCAGGGCGCCGAAGCTCAGAGTCCGTTGGCTTCGCCGGCGTCCCGTACGCCGGCTTCAGGCGCTCCACCGACACAGTGTCTGTGGCGCCCGAGGGGAGCTGCAACCGGTACCAGGCGCCGGTTCGCTCGAGGACGCGGAGCGGTCCTACGTATGGCGCCTCGAGGGGGCGGCGCACCCGGTCCACTCGCATCCACACGTGCGTGCAGGTCTGCAGCTCCCCGGGAACGTATGTGTGTGCCGCAGCGCCGTGGTTACTGCCGGCGGACAGGGCCGCAAAGTCCACGGCCCCCATCCGCTCGGCCAGTTCCCGCACGGGCTCACTGACGTCCGGCGGCGTCCGCCGGTCCACCAGCACCCGGGGGTGGAGGAGCAGGCCGCCGGTCACTGCCGTGAACGGCGCGAAGCCGCCGTCGTTGACGGTGGCTCGGATGCTCATCAGCACCACTGAGAGCGCCTGGAGCCACTGCTTCTTTTTGGCGGTGATGGCCGTCTTCAGGGTCCGATGTAGTCGCTCCACCATGCCGTTCGTCCTCGGATGGTAGGCAGTCGTCCGCAGCCGATGGAACCCGAGGACGGTGGCGAGCTGGCTGAAGACGGCCGCCTCGAACTGAGTGCCTCGGTCGGTCACGACGTGCAGCGGTACGCCGAACCGGGCCACCCAGACGTCCATAAAGGCGGCGGCGACGCTGGCTGCAGAGATGTCAGCGAGGGGCGCCGCCTCGACCCACCGAGTGGCGCGGTCGATACAGGTCAGTAGGTATCGGTAAGGGGATGTGAAGGACTGACCGTGAGGGGCTGACGGGGGCAGAGGGCCGACAATATCAAGGTGCACGGTCTCAAAACGATCACTCAGAGTACCGAAGGAGGAATGAGCGGCTTTGGTGTGACGGTGGACCTTGGACGATTGGCAGGGCTCACACTCACGAACCCACTGGCGGATGCAGCGGTCCATTCCGGGCCAGAAGTAGCGGGACTTGATGAGCTGGACGGATGATTTCACACCAGGATGGGCCAGACCGTGGATGCGTTGGAAAACCTGGAAACGGAGGGAGGCGGGGACAAACGGTCTGGGGTTGGTCAGATCAACATCACAGAGAACCGAAAGGTCAGGAGACAGAGGAAACGTTTCAAGGCGCTCCAGGAAGGAGGCGGTCTCCGGGTCGTTCGTCTGGGCCTCGGCGATGGCGTGTAGATCGGCGGCGTCCACGGTGACGGCGTTCACAGGCGTCTCAGCAGTTGAAGTAGTCGACTGAGTGTTGGCCGGCAGAGCACCGGTCCGGCGCGGCTCGCCGGCGGCCCCGGGTGGGGCGGCTGCGGTCCGAGCGGCGGACGGGCCTGGCTCAGCGGCCGGGCGCGGCGCGGCGGCCGGGCATGGCTCAGCGGCCGGGCGCGGCGCGGCGGCGGCCGGCCCGGCGGCTGGGTGCGGTACAGCCGGGCGCGGCGCGGCGGCGCACGGCCCGGCGTCTGGGTGCGGTACGGCGGCAGGCGGCTCGGTGGCGAGCGGCCCGGCGTCCGATGGAGGCACGCTGACCAGTAGCTCGGAGATCGGAGACGGTGCGGACAGCGCGGTGGCTGCCAGCGACCCGGCGGCCGGGCGCAGCGCGGCGGCGAGCGGCTCGGTGGTGAGCGGCTCGGCGTCAGACGGCGGCGCAGCGACCAGCAGCTCGGGCGCCGGGGTCCGCGCAGGCAGCGCGGCGGCTACCGGCGGCTCCTCGGTGGAGTCTGGGCGACTCAGACAGTCGGCGACGACATTGTCGGCACCGCGCACGTACTGGACAGCGGAGACGTACTCGGTGATGACGCTCCAATGTCGCTGCTGCCGATCCGACTTGGCCGTGTGCGGGCTGAGGAAGGCGGTGGTGAGCGGGCGGTGGTCGGTGAACAGGGTCACCTGGCGTCCCTCCAGCAGGTGCCGAAAGTGGAGCACCGCCAGGTAGGCCGCCAGCAGCTCCCGGTCGTAGGTCGAGTAGCGCCGCTGCTGCTCGCTCAACTTCTTTGAGAAGAAGCCGACCGGAACTGGCTCGCCCTCCACCATCTGGTGTAGTGCGGCGCCGGCAGCCACCTGTGAACAGTCTGTTACCAGGTGGTACTCGTCACAGGCAGGCAAGTGGTGGCGGATGGTGCAGGCGTCCTGCAGAGCGGCCTTGACGGCTGCGAAGGCGGCGAGCTCCGGCTCCGACCACGGCAGGTGCCGGTTCTTCGGGTGGAGCCTGACGAGCTCCGTCAGAGGGTAGACGGTCTCTGCGTAGTGGGGCATCATCCGGCGGTAGAAACCGACCATCCCGAGGAAGCGCCGGAGCCCGGCAGTGTCCTGGGGAGGCGGCAGCTCGGAGATCTCCTTGATCTTGGCGTCTGGAGGCCGGAGTCCTCCAGCGGACACGGTGTGACCCAGAAACGTCAGCTGTTCCTGGAAGAAGCTGCACTTCTCCAGTGAGATCCGCAGGCGGTGCTGGTGGAGAATGTTGAACACAGTATCCAGGTCCCGGCCGTGCTGATCTCTGTCGGGTGAGAAGATCAGTATGTCGTCCAGGTAGATGAAGACACAGTGGACCTGGCGAAACAGCTGATCCATCACCCGCTGGAACGTGGCGCCACTGTTCCGCAATCCCAGAGGGATATACAGGTACTCGAAGGCGCCGAATGGAGTGGTGACAGCCGTCTTCTCGATGTCCTCGCGAGCCATAGGGATCTGGTGATAGGCCCGGAGGAGGTCGACTTTAGAGAACACCGTCATCCCATGCAGACGCGTGCTCAGGCTGTGCAGGTGTGGAAGAGGGTAGCGGTCCGGCTTCGTCTGAGCGTTCAGCGCACGGTAGTCGCCGGTGGCCCGCCACTCACCCGGCGTCCTCTTGGGAACCATGTGCAGCGGCGAGCACCATGGTGAGGTAGACGGACGGACCACACCAGCCTCCAGCAGAGCGTTGAAGGTGGCCTTGGCAGCCTCCAGCTTGTCCGGCGGCAGTCGTCTCGGGCTGGCGAACGTCGGCGGTGAGCTGCCCGTATCGATGTGATGACTGGCCGGAATCGGGCTGGCGTCCGAGGTCTCTCCCGGCTGGAACGGCTCCAGGAGGGAGGGATACTGGCGCAGGAGAGCCTGGACTGTGGGCGGCTGATCGGGGCTCTGGTTGATCAGGAAGGCACCTGGAGCTGGACGGTCAGTGGGGACAGCTGGGGAACGAAGGGAAGTCAAACTGTCCAGGAGGGTCTGGGAAGCACAGTCAACAACCAGTTCATGATGGGAAAGGAAATCATGACCCAGGAGGGGCACAGTAACGTCAGCAACGACAAACGTCCACTGGAAAGATCGTCGGAGGGCTGGGATGGAAAAAGAAAGGAGAACTTCACCGTAGGTGTGCAGCGGTGCTCCACTGGCAGTGGTGATGACGACTGCAGTGGGCTGTAAGACAGCTCCCTGGACGAGCTCCTTCGGAAGCAGGGAGACCCCAGCACCAGTGTCGATCACCAGCTGCAGAGATCTGGAACCAGCTTGGGCTGCGACTCGGATGAGTGGCAGGCCGCGCGTCGCAGTGGCGAGGACCTGCCCCTCTAGTTTCCCGGGCGCTCGGGAGAGGCACGCCGGGACGATGGCTCCAACTGCAGGTTCGTTGTCTTCTTGGGCCACCGGCACCAGGGCTTGCAGGTGCGGGCCTCGGCTCCAAAGTAGAGGTGGGCCCTGCAGACCTGCTGGCGCTGGTCCGGATGGAACGGCCGCAGACCTGTCGGCAGCGCCGAGTAGTCGGCCTGGTGCTGCTGCTGCTGCTCCCCTCTCCTGTGCGGTGGTCGATGCTGGTCGCGCTGGTGGCTGCTCAGCTGAGCCTGCGGGGCTGCCAGACAGCTGGTCTGGAGCAGAGGCATCAGCTCGTCTGCCAGCTTACCCAGCTGCTGCAGGCTCAGGTCACGCTGGGCAGCGAGGACAGCACCGACGGCAGGAGGCAGGGACTGCAGAAGCTTGTGGCGCACCAGCTCCTCCCCGACTCCCACCTTGCCAGCCAGCTCCTGCAGCTCCCGCACGTAGAGGGAGGGTCGACCAGTCAGCTGAACCTTGGAGATGAGCTGGTCGAAGAGCTCCGGCTTGCTCCTTTCATAGAGCTCTGTGACCGCCTGCTGGAGGGCCTGGTAGCTGTGGGAGACGAGGACTGCCCCATCCAGCTTAGACACGGTCATGGGAGGCAGGGAGGCCAACACATGATAAAACTTGGTCGTATCATTGGTGATGCGAGCGATATGGAACTGGGCCTCCATGATCGCGAACCAGCCCTGGACGGCACCCTCCATGAAGGCGGGTGCCTTGATCGACACATGGTGGGCAGGGGCTGGCTGTACCGCGCGTGCGGCATCGTCAGTATCAGAGTCAGGCATGACGAGTCAGAGTGGGCAGGTAAGGTCAAAGTCAACAACAAAATGCACAAAAATGACAACAAAAGCACAGGATATTTCAACAGGTTAAACTCATCACTTCAAATCACGTCGGGGTCACCAGAATGTGGGTCTCAGGGTAAATAGGGGCGTGTTCGGAGGAAAGGAAATTACCCACAATGAAAGAACGAAATAAACAGTGAAACGATGGTTAGATATGGGTTAAACTGGGAGAAAAACGTGAGAAATAAAACTAGGAACTCGTCGAAATACTCAGCCTCTCTGACACTCTGCGTACGATACTAAATTTATATTTTAACTGAGAGCACGTGCCAAAAACCATAGAGATCAAAACGAACAGGAAGTCAACGGGGGCGGAACTACACAGCCAAAAATTAAAACACTTTTTTACATAATCAAAAACGAATCGAGTATATAGAAACGGCGAAAAGTCAATCTAGAAATTACAACAAATTAAAGCAAGGACAGATATTAAATACGGTTGAAAACTATAAGACAGAAGTGACGATAATAACGAATTTACAATAATATAAAGCAGGAAAACAAACGTTCATGAGAAATAACATAAACACTGCGCGAGGCGGCGATTGGCGGCGCAAAGGGCGGCCGTGCTGGACGGACACGCCGCAGCTAAATAATACGCGCCGCGCCACACTCTCATCTCTCTCTCTCTCTCTCTCTCTCTCTCTCTCTCTCTCTCTCTCTCTCTCTCTCTCTCTCTCTCTCTCTCTCTCTCTCTCTCTCTCTCTCTCTCTTTCTCTCCCTCTATCCGTTCTCCCTCCATTTTCCGCGGTCCGGACGTGTCCACTTTGCCGGCGTGCTGTCACGACGTCCCTCCAAAGCACCATCTGCATTCACTTGCCATTGTGACACTGACGGACGAGCAATACACCCACGCTGGGTGCTCAGTGCACCCACGCTGGGTGCCCAGTGCACCCACCAGCGGAAATACCGCCACTGGGTGACACCGAGTCCTGGACTAGCGGACAGCCTCCTTTGTCGCTGGAACGGTTCCTCGCCGTTTGGCGGGCACAGCGACGCGCGGTACTTCCGGTAGGGTGGCCGGTCGGCAGCTCGGACCTGCCCCAACTCCGGATATGGAACGGAACGGAACGGATGGGTGACGGTAGTTGGTGCGGGCGCGGGGCGTGACGGTTGTCAACAGCGGCGTGAAATTACTTGTGTTGTATTACGCCTAGCTCTTCCTTGCGCACTCGGGCTAGCTTTTTCCAGTCCACAAGTGATTATGCTAAAGATTCCTCGATGACTTCCCATCAGCCAAGTCTGTTCGGTCTTTTCTGTCGGGCTCCTCTCTCCCCATCTTTCGTTCTCCCTTCCTTCTTCCCTTGCTTTCTTTCTGTCTTTCTTTCTTTCTTTCTTTCTTTCTTTCTTTCTTTCTTTCTTTCTTTCTTTCTTTCTTCTTTCTTTCTTTCTTTCTTTCTTTCTTTCTTTCTTTCTTTCTTTCTTTCTTTCTTTCTTTCTTTCTTTCTTTCTTTCTTTCTTTCTTTCTTTCTTTCTTTCTTTCTTTCTTTCTTTCTTTCTTTCTTTCTTTCTTTCTTTCTTTCTTTCTTTCTTTTCTTTCTTTCTTTCTTTCTTTCTTTCTTTCTTTCTTTCTTTCTTTCTTTCTTTCTTTCTTTCTTTCTTTCTCTCCCTCTCTCTCTCCGTGTCTGTCTTACTTTCTTTATTTCCCCTCTCCCGTCTTTTTCTCTCCCCTTCCCCCTTCCCGCCGCTCCGCTCTATCTCTCTCCGTTTTCCTCTGGTCAGATACCACCGCGTTGTGAGTGTTGCAGCTCGACCGTGGCCGCAGGTCGGGTGGAGCGGCACCGACCGGCCCACTCCACCCTCAGTGACCTCACTGGGCTGACCCGGCCCTGCCCCGGTGGGGGTGGGGCGGGGTACTTACCTGACCAGACGCCCACCGGCCGGGCCGGGCTGGGTTATAGCCTGCTGGCCTTGCCTGGGTGTGGAGATGGGTGGAGGTGCGGCATCGTCCGTCCGCCCACCGCCCATCGCCCGCAGTCTACCACCCACCGCCCGTCGCCCACCGTTTAATTTTTTTTTTTTGGTTAGGCCCTTTCGGTCTGACAAGACCATTGCAGAGCCGGAAGGATGATAGGAATTAGGGGGAGACATTGGTCTGGGCAGGCACCCTAGTGAGTCGCCGGGGCTGAGCCCGTCCAGAGGACAGGCCACCCAGCCCCAAGGCACTCACTGCACCCGGCTACGGGGTGCGCTCCCTCGGGAGCAGCGGTGCCGCTCCAAGGGAGCAGCCCGCATGAGATAAAGTTGCCTGTCCAGCCCGGAGGGGGGTTTCGGCGTGGAGGAGAAGGATTTCAGTATCCTGAGGAGTTGAGGACAGAAGCACGGAACGGATGGTCGCCCACCGTCTATCGCCTACCGTTTATACAGCCCAACGCTTACCGTTCAGCGCTCACCACGGCATGTGTCACCCAACGTCCACATTGTCAGTCGGATCCCAGCTTTCAGTAGGCGTTTCTCTTGAGTGCGTGCCCCACGTGGGGTCAAAAGGCCGTGTATTTAGGGAATGACAAATGGCTCCATCCCCGTACGCTCCTGATGCGTCACCGCGCTGACGGGGATGAGGCGAAGGAGTGGCATTCCGCGCCGTTTCCGGCCCGTTAGTGTCACTGAGCTCGACAGTGGGTGTGTGATAAACAAACCCGGCACGGCGGACGCTCTGCTCTGGAGTGCAGGACCAGTTCTCGGACCATGCTGTCGGTCCGAGCAGACAGGGAAACGCACGGCTGGCGGGCGCCGCGGCCAGGACCGCAGCGCCGCCGAGCGTGCAGCGCTATCGCACAGATGTCTGTGGTTGCAGCGTGGCTGGCGGCCACACTCTCTTTTCCTTTCCTTTCGCGGGGTGCCCTGTCACCGTCTCTACCTGTGCCACCGTGCATCACGACTTGTGAGTTGTAAAAGGGGACAGTGGAGGCGTTGAATGGCCTGTGACCTGTGCCTTAGGCTCTGCCCCTTCTGTGACTGCTTCATGTCATCTCCACGGGCTCTGGCTGAGACTTGGGTCACTCCGCGGCTGAAGGAGGAGACTGGGGGGGAGGGAGGGGCGTGTCTGGTGTCATGTCTATGTCTGCGGCTGTCATACCATGTCCTGTCCAATGTCCATGTCTGGGGACAGCAGCCGGTGTCAGCGGCCTCTCGCCCATATCCGGACTCTCAGCATTGTCTGGACAGCGCTGCGGCGCGGTGCCTCGTCCATGGCTCTGTCTTGATGCCTTCTGTGACTGTCTGTGACTGCTGGTGGCCAGAAGGGTCTGATTTATCGCAGGCACCAGGCCTGTTTTGGCAGTGATACGCTGCAGTAGGAACGCGGCAGGCGGCGGCTGGGAGCGGAGATGGAGAACCGTATACGTGACTATCGTATACTTCACTGGGCTGACCAGCCATTTATCTTCCATTCAGTTTGTCCGTCTGACGGGCGCATATGTATCTTTCAGCGGAGTGTGGGTGGCTTGGCTGCGTGTGCTTTTGACACGAACTATGTACAATCATAGTCCCTTGCTTTTGTCCCTCTGTGTATCAACAGTGTGCGGGTGGGCAGGCTGTGGTATTTCGCCCCTTTGACGGCTGTCCCTCTGTGTGTTTCAGGGTGTATGGATGACTGGGCTGTGTTATTTTATCCCTCTGACGGTTGTCCCTCTCAGTTTCATAGGTACACGGATGGCTGGGCTGGTCCATGAATGTCTTTCTATCGCTCTAACGTTTGTGTGTCTCTGTGTTTCAGTGGTTTACGGATGACTGGCTATGTTATTTTATCCCTCTAACGGCTGTCCCTCTGCATGTTTCAGCGGTGTATGACTATTCAGGCTGTCTATTTCTTCAGGCTGTCTTCAGGCTGTCTCTGACTGTTGTCCCTCCTCTGCATTTCAGCGGTGTACGGGTGGCCGGGCTGCGTCCGCCACGGCCTGCCTCTGACAGTCGGCGATACAGTGCACATTCTGGAGGAGAGTGGTGGCTGGTACCGCGGGTACACGGCCAGGAACAGACACCAGAGGGGCATCTTCCCCGCCAGCTATGTCCGTGTCAAACGCGGCAGGCCGGACAGCGACGGGTGAGTAACGCTAGAACTCGATGGTTTTGAGGCTCCCGCAGGCAGCTGACATTACCAGATGCACTCAATTACATACTCAGAGCCATGCAAGATAAGCTGCAAACATGCGAACAAAAAGGCTAAATGGTAAAACGATTCCATCCAGGGTATAACTAAAACTTATTAACTGCGGTTCCATCATTCAGTCCCTTATGCGGCATACCATGCTCTCGCCTAACACCGGCAATGGGATAAGCTATTGCCCGGATTCCCCGCCATAATTGACACGATTGGTGTAGTTCCTGTAGCGTGATATCGTACATTATGTAAGCACGGGCGGTGATTCAATATCCGGTCTGACTCGCGGCACGGTTCAGCTGATCGAGGCTCGATAAGTAAACGGCGACCGTGGAAGCATTGACACAACAGCTGACATGCCACTTGGAGACGAATACATGCGTCGGTCTCTCCCGTCTCTGTCTCTGTATGTTTCTCTGTGTATCTTTCCTCTGTTTCCCTGTATTTGTCTCTGCCTGTCTCCATCTCATGTCTCCGTCTCCGTCTATGACTTCCGGTCCCCCGGTCTCTGTTTCTGGACTCGCACTCTGGTCTCTGCAACACAAACACGCCTGCAGCCTGACCCAATTATATACACACCCCAGGCACTATGGCGTGTTGCTGTGCAAGCTGAACGCAGCGGAAATGACTGTACGTAAACCATGACCTCATCCTCTATTGAATTATTTATAATGGCCACCCATTTCTAAACACAACCCTATCCATTGCCCAGAGTGCGGGGATTCCATTTGACGAGTCCGCAATGCACGGAATGAAATGGCATCACCCATCCGGTGTAGCGAACAAACACTTTGCTCTAGTGACAACATGCCCTGTATGTTTCTCCACCGTCTCAGCGCCGCACCGGGTCGGTCCCCGCGGGGAGGTCCGGCTATGTCAGATGAGTGATGTGACGTTCCGGGACGGAGAGTGTGTCACCAACTGGTCCCACACAGACAGGGGACAGTAACCGAGCGAGTCGACAGGTGACTCAGGTCACCCTCGTCCCTCATCACTGCCGGAACAGAGGTGATATCTGGACAGTGAAATAGAATTCGTTCATTTGCAATACCAAGCGGGAGGGATTGTTGGAGGACCTGTCGCTGGTCACCAGAACGCTCACCCGGCGCAGCCCTGCCCCGCGGCATTTGTTCCCTGAGGAGGTCCTGCCCGATCCGCTGGTCCAGTTCAGCATCTTCCTGTCTCGCGATGCATGGTCTCCAGTGCAGCGGTGGTCCCCGGTCCCGTGCAGTGTGATCCTGCCCCAGTTCAATGGTCCTGCCCCGGTACACTGATCCAGTGCAGCGTGGTTCTGCCCCGGTCTGCACCGATCTCAGCAGCGGCGGTACGCTGCACACGCTCGGCAGCGCTCATAGGTCACCTCACCAGCGCTGTGTATGCAGAGCCCCATTGGCAGGCGGCTCGGAACTCCATCTGTGGCCCGACGACTCCGCTGACGGAATACAGAGCGGCCCTTCCCAGTAGTCAGGCACTAGCCGCGCTTGAGCGGGGTAGCGGTAACCAATGCCTCGAGCGCGCCGGAGGTGGGAGGATCTGGGAGGACACGGTCCTGGGAGGTCCACAGACCTCCGCAGCACCCCTTGGGAGGTCTCGGGATTCTGGACAGCAGGGCGGAGCCCCATCGACAGCCGATTTCAATCATGCGTCTGTGGCTTAGAGTGTTTCTCCTAAAATGGGCTGCAGACATAAGCAGGCGCCTCTCAGTCGTCAGCGCCCTTCATTCTATGCATATTTAGGCACTCACGGGAACTGAGTTGTGAGCAGGTATGTTTTGGTCGTTCATTTTGTTGCCTTTTCAAGGATAGTTGTGTGAGTCACATGAGTTACGTCTTTCAGGACATTGTTCCATTTCGAATCCTTCAAAGAATATGGCCTTGGTCGTCTTAAGAAAATCTCAGCCGCCTGCAGAGGCCTCATTGCAGGCTCGGTGGCCAACAGACCGGTCCTGCAGGTCTCTGGGTGTCCTGCCGGCAGCTCGGGCTAATGTGCGTTCGAAAGGCTGCAGGCCCCAGATCCCGCGTCGCGCACACACACATAAACAGTTTGTCACAGCGGCCGGTTCGGACGGGGGTAAACAGAGGCAGCTCTGTTCGCCCTTCCGTTAGACCCTCCCTTCACTGGACCCTCCCCGTGCAGCACGTGCCGTCGACACCGGATGTGCTTTGAACGGGAGGGGTGCTGTCGGGTGGCTGCTGGAACCGGAGCGCCGACAGGGATGCTGGGAAAGGCAGCGTCTACGATGAGAGGGGAGGAGAGAAAGAGCGGAAGAGAGGGAGAGGGAGGGAGGTGAGGAAGAAAGAGAGATTTTGTGACATTCTAGGAAGTATGATTAAAACGCAGTGCGTTGCCAAGTGCCAACACGCTGTCGAGACAGTTGGCGACGTTGTCAACGCGAAGAAAGCTCGCTTGTCTCTCAGCTGCAAGCTTCAATACATGATTCACCAGCTGTCTGGAACATTTCTGACCGAAAGCCAATTCCTTTGGGAACACACTGCTCCATTTTCTGCATATTCCGTGCAGTCCTTTCACTTTCAAACCATGTCTCTTTCTCTCGTGAGCTCTGACGCGAGTCAGAACTGCTATCGTTTCAATCTACTCTAACCGAACGTTCCTGGTTTGACTGCAGCCTCCGATGGGGTTCACTCCGTGCAGCCTAGCTGTCTAAAACCGCAGCTCGCTTTCCGAAGTTGTCCTACAAGCTCGCTCCTCTGCTATGTCATACCCCCACCCCCCCGTCTGTGCGGGTGCGGAGCCAGCTATGCGTGAGGGTCGCCCGTCGGTCGCCTGTCTAGTCGCCCGTCTTGTCACCCGATCAAACCAGCCGCTGTGCCCGGTCAGACGGCTTTCACTTTCCGATCGCCGTGCGCTGGTTGAAATCCGAGACCCGTGTCCCGCCTGGAACGTGTCGTAGAGAGAGGGGTGCGCGAAGGAGGAGGGATAATGTGACAGGTGTCCTCAACAGTAGCCGGTCACGTGGCATATGTTCGCCGCTAGTAGTTGGCCGCGTGACTGGTGCCATCCATTAGTATTATGTCACGTGCCTGACGTTTTGCAACAGTGGTCAGTCACGTGGCTGACGTCTGTTGTAACAACCTGGTCACATGACTGTATGACAAGTTCAACTTGCGGACAAAGTGACTTGCAATGTTCTAAGGGAATCAGAAGGCGACGCTAGCGCATGTCCCAGGCTGTGTCGACTGATTCACCGATGAGTGATCGGTGGTAACGTCACTTGATTCACCTGATAGGGTGTGACTGATAAGTGAAGGGGCTGATTTCTGAGAGCGAACCTGTGAGGTCACCGACAATTTCAGGAAAGATACATCTGTGATCTGAAACTTACGTCTGTAGTGCAGACCTTTTGAGCATTCAGATATAGAATCAGATCGACAGACTCTATAGGCATTTATTTAGTGTTCTTCATTTCAATGATACCGCATGGGCGAATAAAGTAAACGTTTTTCACACGTATCTTTCAAGTGCACCTTAAATATCAACTTTATCTTTATCTCACGTCTTTTCCAGAGTATATAGGCTTTTCAATCATTTCCTAACGCCTCGGGGTGGCTTTGAACTTCAAACGGTTGCCTGCAGTTAAACAAAACTGGATCAAATCTCGAATTGGCATGCTTAATCCTTTTTTCCAATTATCGTATAAAAATTATGTATTTGACAGATGCTAAAGCCCAAAAGCTAAGAAGTAATTCTTTTCGATAGCGAATTGTTTTTCCACCATCCATCGGGCTGCTTACCGAATAATGAAAAAAACTGCCTTTCTATCGCTTTTACCATTCGATCATTTCATCCCATCGAGAGTAAAAGTGACAGGGGACAAGAGTGGAGTTACACTCACTCTCCCGGTTTTCCGAGTCGCCCTGTCCTGTTCTCAATGCTCTGCAGAATACAAAGCGTCTGAGGTCGCCTTTCGGACATAGTTTTACACCTGCGTGCACACTTTCCCTCACAAAGGCTGCATACACGGTGAACTGCGCTCTGTTCAGCTCCGCGACACTGCTCCCGTGTGGTGCAATGTAGCCTTTGTCGGCGGAGCCTTTCAACCACTCCTGAGCTGCTGAAATCGTCATTACAGACGCGCGTCTGGCAAATTGTAAGGCAATGACAAGACATGCGAAATAAATAGGTATGATTGAAGGTGTTGCGTATGCAACATATTGCCTAGCATGCACTTTCATGACATGCATTGCATTGCATGTATGTTTGAAAGGCCAAAGGACATTTTTGCCCTGACAGCTCACTTTAACCTGTTAACGTGTATAATTCATTGAGCTTATTTCATGTGATTGTCGATGATTTGATTGCAAGACTTGCTATGAAACTTTGATTGGTCCATATGATATGTATTTTCTCGTAGTTTTTTTTTATTGATGACAGGTTTCGTTGAGCTGCTCTGACTGACTGTTCCCCATTTTCTCCCCCACTGACCTCCGAACCGTCTGCTCACGGCAGAACATGTATCTCTGACTGACCAGTGATCACTCCCCCACTTCCCCCCCCCCCCTCCCACAGACCCCAGACCTGTCCACTGCCGGCCGAAGATGTACATATAGGCTGTGTCTGTGACTGATATTTCTCGCTTCTCTCCTTCACAGACCCCAGAGCCGTCCTCTCCCGGCAGAGGATGAGGTGGCCACAGAGGTGACACAAGTGCTGCGAGAATGGAGCCACCGCTGGAAACAGCTCTACTTGGTGAGTACAGACCCCTCCCCACTCCATCCTACAGGCCTAATTAACTCATTAACACACTCGCACACGACACCAGTTGCGCCGCAGCGCGCCGCGCGCGTGGGCCGTTACGTCATCGGTCAGTTCAGTAGGGCCGCTGTTGACGCGTGCTGCCTGTAGAGTCGGGGGAGGGGGGAGGAGAGGGGTAATTAGCCGCGTCCGCTCAGTGACTGCGACAGGCGGCCGGGCGGTGTCGGTGTCAGTGTCAGTGGCAGGGCGCCCGGCGTCACTTGAGACGGCTGCTCTGACACTCATTAGCAACCGGAGCCGTGCAACAGCACGCTGCTAATGCACTGTGGCGCACGACGGGTTGGATACAAATGCGCGCAGCACCAGTGTCCATTGTCCATGTCGAGGCTGCGTTATTGATTATTCAGTAGTTGGCAAATGGAATTGACCTGAACGATAAAGTGACAATTGCCCTCTACGAAGGTTGATACGGGCGGGAACAGAATTGGAAGACACTGCTGCATGTGCCAGGGGATACGATATACGTTAGGTTTGTCCTTCCCATTGGGCACACTGCAGGTTTACTTACTACCTAAGTCATCATCTTTTTCACACCAAAGATCAGTGAGAATGGGAGTTGGGGAGGCAGATGTCACTATGCCGCTGGGCTTCTGTGTCACTTTGTCTATACATCAATGTGTTTGAATCCTTGTCTCACTACTATACTGTCGCTCTACCACTGTGTCACTGTATTACCGTCTGTTATCCGTCTGTTTCACCGTTTGTCACCGCGACTCTCTCTGCGTCTCAGGAGCGCGACACCCAGGAGGTCTCCTCGCTGTGGAAGGTGATGCACGAACTGCTCGACTGGCGGCGTCAGCTCATCACGGGAACACTCACCCAGGACCAGACCCGCGAGCTGCGGCTCCGAGCCACCGCCAAGGTCGACTGGGGAAACAGGTCAGTCCGACGCCGCTGATCCGCCGCATTCGGCAGCGGACAGCATTATTACTCTTGACAGTAATCGACTGCACACAGTGCTCTGACATGACACACTACTCAATGACCCAAGGAAAAGGTAGTTTTGCTAATTTTCTTGACTGTCCCAGAGGTCGATAAAATGCTTGGAGCTGCTCCAACGAACATCTTAGTCCCACCACTGTCTCCAACTTAGCCCTCGCCTGGCGGGGGGGGGGGGCAGCCTCCCTAAGTTTTTTTCGCGAATAGCGTAAAAGTTGGTGTCGCGTAGCGCCGCAAAATTTGGCACAGTATCTGGGAATGAGCCTTTTGCTACCTATCCTGAAAATTCACTGCCATCCGCCGCGTCGGCACACCGGTATCTCCTCACCTTCTCCCCACACGGCCTTGACTCCCCAACTCACACCATCACACTACTGCATACGGTGACCGGTCGTACGGTGGATCTGAATGCCTACGTTTTCGCGCCAAAGTCTGAAACAACTAACGATTAGCATCAGCTTAGAGATGTTGAAATTTAGCATTTTAAAGCTTCTAATTCAAAAGTTTATATGTGTGCTTTAACGCACTTGTCCTTATTGATTGAGAAAAGAGCGGACTTTTTATCGTATTACCTGATACGAAGTAACGCAATCGAAGTGTGATTTCGGTCCACTGTGCGTTTTCAGGCGCGCTCGATAAAACACCCAGGCCTGGAGAAAGTTGGAAGGGTGATTTTCTGATCCTCCTTACCACAAAATGACCCTAAGCGAAAAAATGCCCGCAGGGCGCTGCCAACGCGTGCCAGCGGCCCTGCTAGTAAGGGCGAAAATCAATGTATGTGTATGCGGAGCACACCCTTAGCGCTATGATGGCTCCTTGGAGACACCTGGAGAAACCTGTCCCGGCAGAAGGGTCAGGTCCCTCGCAGACGGCGCGGCACGGCGAGAGCTCAGCGGGTGGCCTAGCCGGAAAGAGGATAAAAATAGCCGACTGGCCCGACCCAGCGAGGGGTGACCGAAGGGTGACCAGGAGTGAATGAGGGAACATACACGCGGTACTTACCGAGCAGCCGATAACAGCACCGGACGATTAGAAAGTCATAAGTCAATGCTGTATTTTAGGCGTAAGGAAGCATCCATGTAGACGGGCGGACTGTCTCCAGCTCTTCGAAGCATTGCTAATATCTTGCTCCAACGAGCGTTGGCACGTTGGAAGTTTTATCGACCACTGGACTGTCCTGTCCTGCCCCGACTGTATCTACATATGTATCTTGGAGCCCTGTGAGCTGTCAGTAACCATGTTCATACTTACCGTGGCGCCCGTTCGGCGAGGCTGCCCCGGGATCTGCTGCCGGGCCCGGCAGACCTGCACGGCATTCCGTCACTGAGCACCATCGATCGCCGTCCAGCTGGTCTCTTTGGGTAGGGGGCGGCGACCCGGCCTGTCGCGAGCAGGCACCTTCCACGAGACGCCAGTGGTGATGGAAGCCAGAGGGGTCGGATCGTCAGACTGCACGAGATCCAGCTGCTTCGATAAGCGAAATGAGGTTCCGGTGGCCGGTGTACTGGTGAAGTGCAATTTGGAATGAACTATATCGATCGCTTGCACTTACCGTCACGCATTGATCTTATTATCTCATGTTTACCTTTGATCTCGTAGACAAGGGTTATATATCAACTGAGAAGTTTGTGTTCCAACTCTAAAAGTCTATGAAAGCTCTTCATCATGATTAGAAAGTCAGCACTTCTCACTGACATGCTTTTGTAGCTGAAGATAAACGCGATGCTCAGATGCTATCATTTAACGCTGGTAGTAACTGATTCTGACACTAATAGGTGATGAATTGGCCCTATCTGCATGGTGCTGTTAACGAAGCCTTTTTCGTAGTTTAACCACGTGAACATGATGGATATCACCAGATCTTTTTCACCTTATTTAGATGTCCGCTACCTTACCCCTTACCGTGCATCTCAATCGATGACGGAAGATACATTCCTTCTTGCGTTCGCCATCACTCATCTTATTATTGTTTCACTGAACCGGCGCCACCGGAGCAAAAACGGCGGATGCTAATCCGCGCATTTAGCACAGCGCTGATCGATGCCTCATCATCATACAATGTCTGAATGGCGGCCGTCGGTGGTTTTATGACTGGTCGGCCGCCGGAGGTCACACCGCCCTCGGTTCGGCCCTGTATCTGATGCTAATTGAAACCCGGAAGGCCGATACGATACACGGCACTCGTCTGTGATGTGTGGTGGAGTGAGGAAGTGTAACCGGCTCTCGCAGAAGACACGATGTAGCGCGGTAGATCACAAGCGAAGGCGAGGGCACCGACTTTCAGCTTCCAGCCTCCGGAGCCGGATCTGAACAACTACCTGAGCTAGCCAGTCAGGGATACTTCCTCCAGGGCGGGCGGTCAGGGAAAACGGAGATTGATCGGTATTTGAGAGGAATGCTCGCGCTGCAGTTAGTCAGATAGTATTTCATTAAACATTTGAACTACTTTGATTCAGACCCTTCCGGCATAGGTTCAGCTTGTCGATTTTATTACTTTACGTCCTAACATCAGATAAGCGCTGAAGCGTCATGCTGCCGATCCAGCTTCGCGAAGAGAAACGATAGATAGGACAAATGTATAGTGACCCACTGAGCTGGTTGATGTACGGACCACAGCCGCTGCACAGTGCACAGAACAGGCCAGATATTATATACACAGTGCACGTACTTACCAGGCACATATTCTGACCGGGTTTCCTCGCTGCCTCATTCTTTGCAATGCTGCCGAACTCTGATATGCCCCTGCTCCCTATAGCGCAGCATGTGCTGTAAAACTCACTGCACCGACCCCCGTCCGCGCTGTCTCCCTGTTCGCCCAAACCTGCTCTATTGTGGCCCTGCTCGCCGTGCAGTGCCATAAAACTCACTGCACGCGACCGCCGCTGCCTCCCTGGTCCGCCGGGGAGGTAATCCGCGGCTCTAGGCGGCCTCCGAGACGGATTAGTCACTGCAGAGCGGTCTGAACCGAGTTCCCGCTCTACTCTGATTTTATCAGTCCGACCGGCGAGCGCCGGAGAGCGGCCACACCGGGAGTTATGTGTCATGTTATGGAACAGCCTCGATACGGTTATGAGGGCTCTGCGCGGAACTGGGCGATTATTCAGCGGCATAGTGGTCCGTGTGGATTGGGTGGGGCTGGAGCTATCTCCTGGCCCCCTCCGGATACACTTAGTCAGTAGGCGACGGGAAGTCGCGTCGGTACAGATTTTATCGACAGATTACCATAGTCTGCTCATGAGTGACGCAAGTTTTGACTCATACCCCTGGCTAGACAATTTGCTGATTCAGGAATTCGGGATCCTGGAATACCTAGATCTTTGTGAGCAAGGCTGTTCTGAGAAAACCCAACGCGGATAATAAAGGAAACAGGAACAATGTTGGTATAGATTAGCTGTGTTTTCAGTCCTTCAAATTACATGGTTTCTGTTAGCTAAGGTACTAAACTAATGCGTTCTTTTGAACGAGTTGAGACGCCATTGCACTCATAGCCCATAGTGCCATTCGTTAGTTTTTAGCTCCGTTCTAAGTTATCCAAAAGGGCATACCATGGATAATGCGATGAGTTATTCCATTAAAAACTGCCCAGCCCTATCATGCGGTGCTATTTCATAACTGCGCCGCCCCATAACCAGTCTCCTGTCCGAGGGCCGTTTATACCCCTGCCGTGTCTTGCAAACCAGAGTAGCTGGGGCACGCTCCAAGAGACCATTTTTCATACAGTGCGTCCGCAGCAGGCGATACTGCCGTGCAAACTGCATAGTGCACGGTGCATATTGCACGGTGCACGGTCACACGTGCCGCGGGCAACCACCTGTCACAGCCGCCAACAGGACCTGTCAACAGTCCTTGGTCACCACTGTAAGGTCGCCCCCGGCGGGTCACGTGATCGTCGCACACTGCACAGCTCGCCTTTCGGATCAATTTTCACTGGCGTGTGTTGGGGTAGGACCGATGTCAGGCGCAAGCGGCAGCGAGAAAGATCATCACGGCGCCGCCGTGATGAAGCCTGCGAGCTTGTCTAGTACGGAAGTTGCTAAATTGTGGCGCTGTCTCGAGATGAAAACGGGAATTTCAGTTTGCATTACATGACGTAACGTATCACAGTATCGTACTAGCAGACAGGGCTGTCACGAGCACAAATTCATCCGATAGCTTGCTGCCGTTAGAAAACGGTCAACTGGGACACATCACCGACCCGTCATTCAATTCCATTCTCGTGCCCGTCATCATCGATCAGTCACCACAGTCCATTCACAACTCCGTGTGATTGAAAATCTCAATCACTTTTAGTCCGGTCACCTCGAGTCGACTCCAAATACCAGCGCTCAGCGGCGAGCTCCCCCCCCCCCCCCCCTCCCCGGCCCCTGTCCGACCGGCCTTCGTGCCTTGTTCTTGTCCAGATGAGCTGATAGCCGGCGAACAAACGAGAACGAGCCTGCCGACCGACCGACGCTGCTGTGGCTCTAATTGTGTCCACTTTCAGCACGGCTCGGCTCAAGGCGACCGCTGGAAACGTGCTGGCGGGACCAAGGTGGGTACGAGTAAAGTTGGTCTAGTGGTCTGACTGCACTGACTGTGCCTTTGGGTCGATCGAATTCGAGACTTTGAAGTGTGCAACAAAGTCTGTGGGTTTAAGTTTTATCCTGATTACATGGCTTGAACCGACAGAAATCATGTGAGTACTGAGTTGAAATGTGGAGATGAAAAGAGTGCCGTCTGAAGCTGAGGCGGCAGTTGGTGCCATATCCCCATCAGGGCAGTGGCTGGCCACAGCAGCAGGGGAGCTCACGGTTCTGTCATTACTGTCACGACGGTTAGGCGCACATGTCAGATGAGAGAAAATAGAGAGAGAGAGAGAGAGAGAGAGAGAGAGAGAGAGAGAGAGAGAGGGAGAGGGAGAGGGAGAGGGAGAGGGAGAGGGAGAGAGGGAGAGGGAGAGA